AATTAAAAGTGACACCTTTGAAAAATATAATGAATAAGACACTCTTACAGCGAATCAATTGGAAACTAAACTGAGTATTCTAAGAACTGACAATGGGTTAGAGTTTGTTTCAGAGCAGTTTAATGAGTTTTGCAAGAAACATCGTATTAAGAGGCATAGAACTGTTGCTAGTACACCTCAACAAAATGGCTTACATGAACACGTGAATATAACCATTTTGGAGAGAGTAAGGTACATGTTGTTGGGAGTTGATTACCTAAGAGTTTTTTTAGGTGAAGTTGTTGATAAAGAAACTTACTTGATTAACAGATCTCCATCCACATGAATAAAGTTCAAGACACCTATGGAAATTTGGAGTGGGAAACCGGTAGACTAATCAAATTTGAAAATTTTTGGAGCGTTGGAGTTTTCTTATATCAAATAGGACAAATTTGATGCTAGAGTTGTGAAGTGTGTCTTCATTGGTTATCCTTAAGGGGTGAAGGGTTACAAACTATGGAAGATGGATCCTGAAGGATCAAAATTTATCATAAGCAGAGATGTTACTTTTGTTGAGACTCGTACCGGGATGAAGTGAAAAGACTTAGAGGTTAATGAATTTGAAACTATGGTGGAAAAGACTTAGTTTGAGCTGGAGGTTCCTACTAGTGAGACTAGAGACACTGAGATAGTTAAGACTCATGTTTCTAGTACTATTGAAGGGCAATGTACATCGTCTACTAATTATTAGTTGGCATGTGATAGAGTTAGAAGGGAGATTGTACCACCTTAAATGTGAAGTTATGTTGATCTTATTTGTTATGCTTTGAATGTGGCTGAAGGGTTTCAAGACTCAGAACCAAATACCTTAAAAAAAGAAATCAAAGGCAAAGATAGACAAAAATGTTTAATGGTAGTAAATGATGAAATGAATTCACTGATGAAGAACCATACTTGGGAGCCTATGAGACTACTTAAGAAACTAGTGGTGTTTGGATGCAAGTGGATCTTCAAGAAGAATGAAGGTAATCAAGAAATTGAAGAACCAAGGTTTAAGGAAAGACTTATAGCAAAAGGTTTTACTCAGGTGTAAAGGATTGACTACGATAAAAAAAATTCACATGTGGTAAACATTGTTATATAAGGATACTTATGGAAATTGTAAATCAATATAATATTGAGTTAGAACAGTTGGACATTAAAACAACTTTCTTACATGGAAACCTGGAAGAGACAATATACATAGAACAACCTGAAGTTTTTATAGATGATAATGCTACGGTATTTTGTTGAAAAAAAATTGTATGGGTTGAAATAAATCCCAAGGCAGTGGTATCGTCGATTTGACGAATTTCTTCTTAAACATGGTTTTGTAAGAAGTAATTATGACAATTGGGTATGCATATTGAAGGGGAATGAGAAAGTCGTTATCTACCTTCTTTTATATGTTGGTGATATTTTGATGGCAAACTCTAGTAAAAACGAGATCCTTAAGCTCAAGGAGATCTTGAAAGGTGAATTTGAGATGAAAGATCTTAATGAAACTAAAATAATCTTGGGTATGGATATCATGATAAGTCTCAAGAATAGTGAATAGATCTTATCTCACTCTAGTTACTTGAAGAAAGTGGTGGAGCATTTTAAAATGCAAGATGCTAAAACCTTCAACACTTATTTGGGTCATCATATGAAGCTTTCGGATAAACAATTTCCTCAAACTAAGGAAGAGAAGAAGATAATGGAAATTACTCTCTATGTAAGTGGGATTGGAAGCATTATGTATGGTATAGTTTGTAGTAGACCAGACTTAACATATGTAGTCAGCATAGTAAGTCGGCTTATGGAAAATCATGGTCAGGTTCATTGGGAATACTTAAAGTGGGTGTTGAGGTATTTGAATGGTTTTTAAAGGGTGGTTTAAAATACACAAGTTCAACTCAAGAGAAATATGTTATGGAGTATTTTTTTTGATTCAGACTATGCAGGTAATGTGGACACTAGAAATCCCTATCAGGTTTTGTGTTTACGTTGTTTGGGAAAACTATAATTTGGAAGCCAAATCAATAATCAGTTGTCGCGTTATCTACTACTCAAGTGAAATATGTTGCCCTTGTTGAAAGGGTCCAGGAAGTCATACGGCTGAAAGGCATGATTGGGGAGTAAGGGATTACTCAAGAATGTGTGAAGATAAATTATGATAGTCAAAGTGTCATTCACTTTTCCAATCATCACGTTTATCATGAGAGAACAATAAATATTGACATTCATTTACACTTTATAAGGGACATGATAGAGTCAAAGGCGATTCAGGTTTAGAAAGTGCCCTCATAAGAGAATTCAACAAATATGTTCACCAAATCATTACCAAGATCAAGGTTCAAGCATTGCTTGGACTTGATCAAATTTATTGAAGTGTGATTCAAGCTTTGGAGAGAGCAATAATGTGTTTGATGGTTAAATTGACACCACCGTCAATTTAAAGTCAAGGTTGAGAGTTTTTGTAATATGTCTTAATACTTTGACAGCTGATGTGTATGTCTTGGATGTGGTCATCCCTAACCTCTAGTACCTATTGATTAGATGGCCTATATGGTCTTCCGAGAGCGCCTGGTGTCATGATAGAATGTGACACCCTATAGAACCATGTCATGTAGTCGTCTATATAAGCCAAACGTACAGGAGATGTCATGTAGTCCTCTGGTACCAAATGACTCTCGAAATCCAAGTATGGCATCAAGAGATAATTAATCCTTTAAAATGGTTCATATAAAATGTGAAGAAAGTGAGAAAAGTGAGATATGATTCATCCTTGAACATGGTTCAAATAAAATATTAGTAATAAGTATAACCAAAGATTTATGAAAATATTAGTAACAGTAAATTATCGTAAGTAGCATGGAGCTTCCTGTCAACTGCTTTGTCTTCCAAAGACAACTCTCGCTTAGCTTCGAGTACAGATAGACCAAACAGGCGGGCGCCCAATTGTACTCGTGAATCATCGTTAAGTCGATGAAGTATTTAAGGAAGACCACGTCGACGTAGGTTGCACTTTTATTCACAAACATGGATGTGTCAACTAGGAACAAAAGGTAACATCTCAATGCATATTGTCAATGGTGTTTAACCTGCATATCATCACCGTCAGCATCCACAACCATTTGCAGGTGGTCTTTATAAATTTCTTCCAAGAATTTAAATCAAGCGCAATCACCTCTTATGTCACCTACCTCATTTGCGACCTCATTTAGGTCAGCTCCCAAATGGGTGACCATCATCTTGATGGCATCTTCTCAGTTGATCCTTTTGTCGTCTAGTAATTTTCCTCAAATGGGAAGATGTAGGAGGCATGAAATATCATCCAAGGTGATGGACATCTCATAAATTAGAAGGTGAAAAAATGATGTCTCTGGGTGTCATCTCTCTACAAATGTCACATGCATACCATGGTTTATGGTAGTGTACACAACAACACATAAACCGTCAAACCCAGGGTAGCAGATAACATTCTTGACCCAGCCATCATAGGACTGGTCCAAATCCAAAATCTTTCTTTCGTGATTTACAAATTTTAAACATGGACGCTTCTGTAAAAATAATGCATATCACCATTAGTTGCAATTAAATTAGTTTAAAACAGATGTAACACAAAAATAAATGAATATACCTCTCCTTCCCAGATATGCCTAACAACATGGTCTCCATATAAATGAATTAAAGAGGTGTGAAATTGCCCTCCTGGATAACTATCTACAGGGGCATTCGCATCAGCAGCGGATTCTTCCTAATTTCCCTCATATGCTTCAAAGGCTTCCAGGGCATCTTCGAGAGGACTTCATAAGCAGGGAACACATGGCTCGTGAAGTAGATACCTGAGACAGTCGACAACAGAAAGTAAAATTAGATGGTTGTGAACATCGACCTTGCGAACCATCAAACGAGGTAGTGTCGACTTGTGGCCTCGTGGCCCTGACCCTTTCACATCATGCTGACACGTGTTGGGGCATACGACCTGCCTAATTTCCTAACTATGCAAAAAAAAAAAAATCCAATAAAAATTTAAATATTTCGAGAAAAAAAAAGCTTACTTCCTTGTAATTATTATCCGAGCAATTCCAACAAAAATCTAAAATTATACAACTTTTTAAAAAATTCAAAATATTTAATTTTACTTTTACAATTTCACTTCACATATTTTTGTTAAAAGGGTATTTTTGTTAAATTGTCCAAGTGTAAGGGTGTATAATAGTGGTAGGTAGCCAACCCCAAGGCCTTCAAATAAGACAAAACATGGGATTGGGATCCTAAGTCATTGCTACTCATTTCAAAAGTAAATGTTATTTTGAGTTACATATAGTAAGCATTATTTGAATAGTGTGAGTTGGAACTTGGAACTCCTCCCACCTACAATACAAGTACTAGTAATTGGATTTGGATTTGGATTTTCTCTCTTTGTACCTATAACTATCTGTTGCCTTTAATTGATTACCTTAAAAAGGACATGTCCTTCAAATTAAAAGAACCCCTCCCCACACAAAAAACTCCTGAATACAGAATTTTGTTTTCTTTGTACATACACAAAACATGTAGCAACATTTATGACAACAATACATTAGTCCAATTGAAAACGACTTGCATGACCCATTGCACTCAAATAACATGATCAAATTGAAGGGTATCATTTACTTTATAGTTCTTTATTATAGCTATATTATTACTAAAGATATCACCTATGATTTTTTTAGTTGTTCTAGTTGCAAGTGTATATATAAAAAGACAAAAGGTGAAAACTAGAATTTGATTTGATAAGATAAAAGTTGGAGAATATTGACAACAAATTGAAGAAGGGACCATATTCCCAATCACATTTCAAATCATGCAAAAGAAAAAGACATTGACATTTTCTTTATCCAAAGCTTAATCAACAACAAAATCAAAATCATTGACAAATTTATTTATAAAACTCAAAAACAACAGACTCCAGATAAGAAAGAAAAAAAAAGCCGGTTCCTTCATTTCTTCAATCACTCCTCAACAGCTAGAGGCACAGACTCAGCCTGAGGAACAAAAAAAAAATGTAACATATTAGTACATTAGTAACTTCATAGAAAAATGTTAGGAGTATATAATTTGTGTCTATAGAACTTACCAATTTGCGGTACTTGAGAGCATAGAACATCTCGAGATAGCGGCGGCTCTCGAGACGGTCGAGGTTAGAAACGTGTTTCCAGAAACCATAGACACCAGTGAGAGTAAGAAGCCTCTGAGAGTAAATTTGCCATGTGTACCTTTGGAACAAAACCAGAAAAGAAAACATGTTAATCATAATTCACACAACCAAAACAAAGACAGCTGTGTAATAATAACATGGTTGGTTTGGTTATAGTAGCTTGCTTACTTCTCTTCAATACGTTGGAGACCACCATGAGAGATCTTGTCCCAGTGAGATGGATCAGCCTTAACTTTCTCGAAGAATTCGACTAGGAGATCAGCAGCGCGGTCGCCATGGTATGGATCGATGTGGAATCCAGACTTTCCATGGACAATGATCTCAGCAGGTCCACCATTGAGTGTTGCAAATGTTGGTAATCCGGTAGCCATGGCCTCAACGACGGTAAGACCGAAGGCTTCGTACACAGCAGGCTGCACGAAAGCTCCTTTTGTGTCGCAGATTACACGGTAGAGCTCTCCGTTTCTGACACGGTTCATCTGAGATGAAATCCATCTGAATTGGCCATTCAACTTGTAGGTCTCGATTAGTTCATACATCTTCTTCATCTCAGCTTTCTCTTCCAAGTCCTTTGACTCCTTCCTCCTGTCTCCGGCAACAACAACGAGGTTCACCAACTCACGAAGCTTGGCATTCTTTCCGTACCACTCAACAAGTCCTGTAATGTTCTTCACACGGTCCAACCTTGCCATGGTGAAGATAATCGGCTTGCTGCGGTCCTTGAGCACACATCTGTTACAACGGAATCGCAATTCATTATAAAAATCTTTCATGTGAAAGTGCCAACAACAATATCATAAAACGAGAACGAAAAATCTCACATGTGCTCTTCGTTTTCCACTGTGCTATAAAGAAGCTCTTCAATTTCAGGGTAGAACGATGTCAACCTGCGGCTAGTTTCAGTGTAAGGGAAATAAATGGTCTGATCAGCTCCCGGAGACACAATATTGAACTTAGGATCAAACACGTCGATACCGTGCACGACACGGTAGAGTCCCGGAAGAGTGAAGGCGGTGTGACTCTCATACTGTCCAACAGTATCCTTGCTGCACAAGAAAACACAACAATTTCAGTAAGCCAGATAATCAAAGAAACAAAAATTGCCAAAAAAAAAATATCATATCACACCTTCCAGCAATCTCTTGGAAGGTACTTGTGATGATGAAATCTGTGTGGTTCATCGCAAAAAGATCAGCGGTAAATTGGCAGGAGAAGTGATACTTTTCTTCGAATTTTTTCCAGTAAATATCAGATTCAGGATACTTAGTCTTCTCTAGTGCATGAGCAATGGTACACTGTAATAACAGATAAAGCGAAAACATTAGAATAAAGCATAGTTAACAGAACGTTAGAAATTACAACTAGTAAGTGTTCATGAATACAAACCTGAGTGACACCTAATTTGTGTGCCAACAAAGAAGCAACAATGTTTCCATCACTGTAGTTTCCAACAATCAGATCTGGTTTGCCTTGCAACTCTTTGGCAAGCTCATGAGCAACATCCTAATGACAAGATACATATAATTAAGAATAAAAGAAACATCAAAATGTTTGAAAAAGTGTCACGATTATGGATCCAAGTGATACCTCGGTGTAGGTTTCTAGATATGGCCAGACTTCGAATCGTGAGATCCACTTGCGAACAATTCCCTTCTGATCTCTGAAGGGAACTCGAAGAATGTGGCAATGCTCGGTTCCGTAGACCTTCTCGAGTCGTTGGCCACAGGTAGTTCCGACTGCATCTGGGAGAAGACGAGTGATCTGTATTTAACAGAAACATCCACAACCACGAGTACCATTAGAGAATTTCCCATATACAATATACAATGAACCATAACTAACAAGTTACCTATTAAAATAAACCATGACTTACAATGAGAATGCGTGGAACGATATCCAAGCCTTGTTTCTTAATGCGATTGAGCATCTCGCTCTCCAAGGCACGAACTTGATCCAAAATGTAAACAACCTAAATTGAAGATCAAGCAAAACAAGTTAAACTATGGGATCATTCACAAACAACAGAAACATTTGATCTTATAAACCAACCTGACCACCGGTATCAGGGTATCCCAAGACATCATCTTGAGCAAAGTAACCGTGAGGAGAAAGAATGACAACATTAAACACCATAGGGATTCTGTCAAGGAAAGTCTCAAGAGTGCAAGGATCAGGAGCCTCAAGAAGATCCAATAGAAGCTGAATGGACTCGAGCACGCGCTCTGCGGTGTCTCCCCAACCTCTCTCCAAACCAATCTCCTGGAACCTGTGCTCAAATTCGGAGTATGGTGTTTCAGGAGCAACTGTGCCTAGATACTCTTCAGCCTTTCTCAGAACATGTTGAAGAGAATCAGGGTTCTGAATTCTGTCATTCAACATCAATGTCTGCAAACCAAAACAGACACACGAGATCAATAACTTGAACGACACAAAAGCATGCAAGATCATCGAAGTAGCTAGCTAGTTTGTTACCTTTCCCTTGTAGCTGTGAAGTCTGAGAAATTCCAAAAGTGGATGCAGACTCTCCTTGTCATGGAAGAGTTTAGCAGAAAGGTGACGGTTGAGAAACTGTACACCATTTCCAATTGATTTGTTGAGAGTGGGACGAGGGAAAGACGCCGTAAATGGTTCAAAGTCCAATTCTAGCACGAAGTTACCATTAGCACTGCAACAAAAGTGAAATTTGTGTAAAAAAATCAACAAAAACACAAAACTAATGATAAAAAAAAACTTGATTAATTTGTTAATTATTACCTGCCATCAACAAGTTCTTCCTTGAATTTGAGAAACTCAGCAGGTTGCAAATTTTCAACCACAAGAGCATGCACATTCACTCTCAGATACTCCCAAACACCGGGCCTTGGACGAACAGCAAGAGCAACCCATGGTGGCAAAACTATAACTTCCTAAAAAATCATCAAAAAAATCAAAAACCCTATCATGATCATTGATCAAAATCCATGTAGCACAAACCCGTCTAAAAAAATCATTTCCACATCGGTGTCAAACACCAACACCGACACTTGTGATTATATTACAGATATCGTTGTGTCAGTGTTCAGGATATATGTGTTTCATGATCAAAACAAATTATACCTGTGTGGATCTGAGAACTTCACCAAATGCACCATCAGTCAGCTTCTGTCTATTCTCTTCAGGAATTTCTTCAAACTCAGCAATCACTTGGTGGTGCTGCAAAATTCCCTTTCCCTTTGCTTCAAGCCTTCAAAAATTCATCAAACATTTTCAACAAAATTGAACTCAAACAGTAATAAAAAAATTAAATAATAATTGATGAGTTAGTGTTACCTCGAAAGAAGAGCTAAAATTTCATTCCTATTAGCCGTCAAGGTTTCATCAAGCCTCTCTCGGAGACTATGAACACGAGTCAATCGATCAGTAGCCATTGAAATTCTTCAACTGCATCAACAAAAATAACAATATTCAAAATTAAAAAAAATGAAAATAAATAAAAAAAACAAAATATAATAATAAATAAAATATAAAAAAAAATATATTCTAGAACAAAAAACTGGATTTGATTTCAATTTTCAAATTTATAATTTTCAATTTATAATTTTCAATTTATAATTTTCAAAGCCACCACCACCGACCACTTGTCAAACAAAATATTCATACCAAACCATCACCTTTTTTTCAACTAAATTTTCAACCTTACACAGTGCGTAAGAATAATTTTCTTTTTTAAAAAAATAATAATAAAAAAAACATTATCAAAATAAATAAATAAAATAAAAAGATGCTTCAGCTTTTGTGTTTTAATTTAAGTTTCATTTTAAATTTTTTTTTTTTTTTATTTAATCAAGGCCATGCATGTTGATGTAATGAAAGCGTCATGAACAAGGTTTAAGGAAAACTCAGAACACCGACAGAATCTTGTTCCTAGAAAGTGAAACTGTGTAATGTCTCAAGAACACAAAATTGAACAAAAAAAGAGAATTATAGTACAAGATCATGACTCCATTTTCATGGTGTGGAGTTTGATCTAGTGATCAGAGAAGAAAGAACATGCAGAGGTGGTGGAACATGGTGACGTGGCAGTGATGAGAAAAAAACAGAACAACGAGAAAGAAGAAAGAATACCTATGAAAATGAAAACAGGGTGAACGCAAGAAAGATAGGGGTGTAAATAGAAGGGATGAATGAATGAAAAATGAAGATGTAGATGAATGAATTTATAGAGGAAAAGAGAAACAGAATAGGAATTTCACATGCTGAAGTGGAAGTTAAATTTAATTAAAATATTAAAATATTTTATTTTATTTTATAAGTTAAGACATTCTCCAAAGGTCAAAAAGTTTTACCTCACTTTTTCTTACCGTAACATAAAGCGAATATTAAGAGTATATTATTTTATAAATCTTGCTTTAAAATTTATTCTTTTTTTTTTCATGAGGCTTTTTTTGTTTTTTGACTTGAATTGAAATAGAGTTAGAGTTAGAAATGGAATATGCATTCTTTTAGTCTAAAGTACGCGTTAATTTTTTGGATAAGTATAATTTACTTTGTTAATTTTATTGAAATAATATTTTTTTTTTAAATACTAATAGAAAAGTAGTAAAATTTGTTTGGTTGCTAAATAGAAATATAGTTTCTTCTACCACAAGAAGGAAATACCTTTCTCTTTTTATTTTATTATTATTATTAGATCACTTTTTTCTTGTGTTTATATTGGTCAAAAATATTTTATTCTATATTATTTAAGTATATTATTTTATATATTAAATCTCAATTTAGTAAACAACTTCTCTAAAATTAAAACACTACAGTTATTTATATGCATTTTATCATGATTTATAATTAAAACCTTAGTGCATATTATTTCTTTCTACCTATTTAAAAATAAAAAATTTTGAAATCATTTACCTTAAATTTAAGTAAATATCAATAAATTTATAAACTATTTTATGTTTTTAGTTTAAAATTATAGATTATTCATAGCTGATAACAAATTAGTAATAATTAATAATTATAAATGATAATTGATAGTTAATATCTAATGATTGATAGTTGATAAATTAATTGAAATATTTCAGTAAAATAATAATTTAAATAGTTAATAAATATAAAATAACAACAAAAAATTAAGTAATAACTTAATAATTATATAATTTTTTGTATATTATTATTAAATTATTTTTCATTTAAAATTAAAAGTAACAATAAACATATATATATATATATATATATATATATATATATATATATATATATATATATATATATATATATATATATATATATATATATATATATATATATATATATATATGGGACATATCAAGTGAGAGTGATTTTAAAATGAGAGATGAGAAGAACAAACAACAACTATTAGATCATGATTAAACTTATTTATTAATGTGACTATTAATTTCTCTCTTATTAACTTGAATTTCATCTCTCTTATTAATTTGATCTAATGGTTGTTGTTTGTTACTCTCATCTCTCACTTAAAATTACTCTCATTTATTTGTTCTTGTTAAAAGTATAACAAAGGAGATAAAACACGATCACATTGAAATTCTTTGTGTTTCTCCCTAGAATTTGTGAATGATCATCTTTAATGTTAAGTGAAAAGTGTAATTTAAGTGTATGTAATCGATGATTGTGAGGCTGTAAACAGTTATAGTTGAAACATAATTGCTGGTGATCGGTTATACTTTGCCTATAATCGATTACACCTGTTGTAATTTGACTTGTAACCGGTTAATGCGAGGTTGTAACCGGTTACAATGGTAGGTTTTTCTGTTTTTATGTTTGTTACTTGTATCTCATTTAATATAATTATGTATATACCTCTTGGGTATCTCAATAATAATGATCCCTATTTTTCACTCTCAATAATAGTTACTCCACTTGTTGAAGGCTTAACTGTTGCACAAAGTGTTATATATATAGTCTTTGGGGCTGCTGCAAAACTAAGAATTAATGGAGATGAAAATAGAGAAATAATTTTTTTTGATAAACTTCCAAAGCGTATGTTTCCACACTAAGCTTAAGGAACAATTCGCCCCACCAATCTTGGTATGTTGGATGCAAACGGGTTTATCGGCGAATTTCCTACAGGATACTTTGGAATCCTTAAGGAGAATTGCACAGTCTCTCTAAGCGTATCTTTGATAGTATTTTACAGAAGAATATTTCTTTTTCTTTCTCTCATGCATTAGAGAAGAGAAAGATAATTTAGAGTGAGAAAATAATTTGAGACAGATTGTATGTTCTATGTGTTTCCTCGTGTCAAGAAACACTCAATTTATAATGATAGTGTAACAAGAAATGGTGTTCCTTCCAAGGTGATGTCGTGCCTACTGATAATTCAATAGTTCAAGAGATTGTTTGCTAATGTAAATGATGCAAAGAATAATAGATGGCATGCATCTGAAAGAGTATGTGATGGACAAATTTTCTATGTAGCTGATTAATTGCAATGGAAGAAAATTGGTTTGTTGTTTCCAGATTTTGCCCTTGAGCCAAGGAACCTTAGGCTTGGACTTGCCACCGTCGAAATGAGCATGTTTGGTGATTTTACTACTAATCATACTTCATGGTTTGTTCTTTTTATAATTTACAACTTATCTTTATGGTTGTGCATGAAGCGCAAATATATGACGTTATCAATGATGCTTTCGGGTTCAAAACAACCAGAGAACGACATAGATGTTTATTTAATGTCATTGATTAAAGATTTAAGACTTTTGTAGGAGGAAGACATTTATGTTGATGATGTGTATACAAGTGATAACTTTAAGTTGCGTGCCATATTATTTTGCACAATCAATTACTTTCATGCATACGATAACTTGTCTGGTATATCGTCAAGAGACATAAAGTGTGTCCTATATGTGAAGATAATACATGCTTTCACCATTTACAAAATGAAAAAAAAAACAGTTTACCTTGGGCATCAAAATTTTCTAAGACCATAATCATCCATATCGTATATTGCAGAAGGCTTTTAATGGAAAAAATGAGTTTGATCTCACTTCAAAGCCCTTAACCGGGAAGGAAGATTATAAAAGACAGCACCACATTAATGTTGTATTTCGAAAGAAACAAAAAAGGCCCGTGGAGAAATTTTTTTTAAAAAAGAGGCTGGTTTTCTTTGATCTTCCATATTAGTCTAGTCTCGATGTAAGATATTGTCTTGATGTGATGCATGTGGAGAAAAATATATGTGGTAGTTTGATTGGAACACTTCTGAAAATTAAAGGAAAAATAAAAGATACTAAGAAATTCCGTCAAGATATGGTTTTAATGGGTATACGACAAGATTTATCCCCAAAAGAAATAAGAAATATAACATATTTTCCCCTAGCATCTCACACCATGTCTAAAAAAGAAATAAAAAGTTTTTTCGATTGTTTGTAGGGTATCAAAGTTTCTCAATGGTACTCATCAAATGTGAAGAAATTTGTATCAATGAAAGATCTCAAATTAGTTGGTTTAAAATCTTATGATTGTCATATCTTGATGCAACAACTTCTATCAGTGGCTATCAGTGACGTTTTACCAAAAAATGTAAGGGTAACTATAACCAGATTTTACTTATTCTTCAATGTTATATGTAGTAAAGGGGCTATGGGAAAACTAGTGTTCTGGACTTGCCCGGGACCTGTTCCTCAGTCGGACAGGCTCAACCCAACACTGCGTTGGGGAGGCCCAATAAGGCTCAACCCTCCCATGTCGGGCACGAGCCATATATGTTGGGCAGACGACTCCCTTGATGGGGAGACTCACACGTTTCCCCCCACGTTGTCCACGTACTCCCCCATGCAGAGACACGTCATTAGGCAACTATCCACCTCTGAAAGAATTGGTCAGCCCACCTTTCGAATATCACGGAGCAGTTGATCTAGGGCAAAGACCACATGTTGGTCTTCACTACGCCACGTAAGCCCTCGCAGTTACTTGGGTTCGGTCTGGAAGTCCGGCCCAATGCAATGTAACTGTTGGTCCTGCACTGGGGTCTCTCTATAAATACCCTCTTTCACTAGAGGGTCGGGTATCTTATTCTTTACACCTACTTCTCTATACTTGCTCTCTCACTCTAATCCTTTACTCACTTAAGCATCAGAGTGCCTTGCAGGTACACCCTCATCCTTCTTCCTAACTCCGATGAAAGCAACAATCTAACGATGCGTGGCAGGCCATTGATCTTTTCTGATTAGGTGAGATCAGTAGCGCCGTCTATGGGAACCTCAACGTCCCTGTTCTTTCTCCTGTCCGAGCACAGAAGCTCAAGAACCAAAGCGAAATCAATCTTCGACTTCCCTTCCAATCAAGGCCAGCCCACGCAATAACAATGCCTTAGGATATTTTGTTACCCCCTTTTCGAACGGGGACGGCCACGACCCCAACACGGTCGTCCACAACGATGAAGGTGACC